GTGGGTCGCGCAACTCGCAGCCTACGCTTGCCCAGCTCGAGACATGCCTCCAGCAAGCACAGCGCCCTGAGTTGCCGCGCTGCACGCCGCGATCCCTTCGCCACCTGCGACAGGTCGCCCACCCGCAGTCTGTGCCCCATCCGAGCGTCGGCTGTCGCGGCTGTGCTCGTCACGTAGGTGGGCCAGGACAATCGCGAACCTGGCGCCTGGGCGGAAGCCCTGCACCAAGCTCCGGCTTGGGTCGAACGGGGCGCTGGCCGCGCCGAGCTGCCCAAAATCCCGCGGGGCGACACATTGAAGCAGCTCGAGATACAAAAGCACCGGGGGGGGCTTGAGTCCGAGGGCAGCTGCAACCAGCGGGAATCATGGAACTGAATCATGACAGGCTTCATTGTCAAGCATTCCACGTGCATGTGAATACCCATGATATATGCAACTACTTCGTCAATCGCCATCAAAAAAGCTTCGAGTCATGAATTACCTTTGATTGCAGCGCCCCATTGATGCGCCGTGGATCGCGCCCAACCTTGCCCCTCACACTCCCTGACTTTTGACCACAATCGGCATAAAATGGAAACCAATCCAATGCCACGGCCAGCATCTGATTTCTTCGGGGTTCACTTGACAACAACTAACACGGCCTGGATAGGCGGGACAAGAACAGCCCCCACGACCTCGAATGTCAAAGCTAGTTCTGCCATTCCAGCAGCTGGCAATATTTGAGTGTCAACGGGCGCGATGCGATCAATGCCGAATCCTGCATTCGCCTCCACGTGGCCCGCTGCTTCCAGCGGCATGTCCGCTGGGATGGGAGGCGGCGGTTCAGCTTCATCGGCAGCGCACATTGGCCGAAGCAGCTCCCTGGCATCGGCGAGGTCTGGAAGCAACGGCGCCCACAAACTCTAGGAATCCCGCCCCTCCTTGATCCGTGATGTCACGTGGCCGGCACAGCACCAGCTCTCCTGTCATCACCTCAAGAGCAGGCAGCGGCATGGGCTTGAGCGCCCTGTGTGAGACGCCGATTGCATCTCTGCCTGCTGCCCAACTCTGAAATTCCTGCAGCCACCGAAATGCAGTCTCTCTGAACACGTTGCGAAATCTTCTTGGCGCACGCCTCGCACGACTGTAGAACTGCAATGTCCTGCCGACCCAGGCTACTGAGTACTTCCGACCGTCTGTGCCAGGGCGGACCCCGTCCAGCACGCAGTGGCAAGTGGAATCCCTCGGGGCAGTCACCGCGCCGCTTGAGGCAAGCATCGCGATCCTGTCGTATTTGGCGCGCACCATTGCTGCGCTCGGCTCGGCGAACGACACCTGCAATCACAGCGCGGGCTCTCGTCCACCACTGAGCCTTGAGATCTCGTAAATGACACTGTGGTCTGCGCGATGTCTCATGAATGTCTGACAGCAAACTTCGGTCCGATGGCGCGACTGACCCCAGAGAGGGCGTCATAACCGCCACTCTGCTGCTCAGAACTGGCCGCTGGGGGCTGGCTCGAATTCGGGGGGGGGGCTCGGCGGGCCCGGCCCGCGTGGCCCCCTCCCCCCCGTGCTGAAACTTATTTGGCTGAACACAGCCCCAAAACAATTCGAGAAACCTAGCGGCCCTAGCCTGTGCGGACGAAAGCCGATCAACATCCTGGCGGGCCTTCGCAACGCTACATTTGGAACCTGGGGCGGGCCCCTGGCGGGGCCTCGGGAGCTGGCGAAGCCTAGCGGCGGCCTCGAGCATCCGAGTCAAAAGATGGCGCCCTAAGCTCCTAAGATCGAGATTGGGACCAACGCGAGGCTGCCAGGGCACATCTCTGACAATGGACACACTGCGCACATATGCGACCGCCACAAAGCACCACGCAAGATAGTCCATGAGCGTACCCGTGTAATCTTGTTTCTGAGCACATGTGCCAGCGTCGCCTCCGGCTGCGCTAACAATGCCTCCAAGCTGTTGGGCAAATCTCGAAGCAGAGAAGACATCTGGCGTCATGTTGACAGTACCGACGAGGATCTGTGGGAGTCGCACTGCAGCCAAAAAAACACCGGTCGCCTGGAAACGCTGTTTGCTGGCGCCCAGGATCCCCGGCGACAGCAGCGCATAGGTGGTGGCAATGATGAGCAATAGGTGGTCGCCACGAAGCCGTCCCGGGACGTCTGGTTGGGCTCTGAAAGATGCACTGCTGCTACAGCTGTCTCGTGGAGCCTATGAGCCTGTAGGTGGAACTGGCTCATGGACAAACCCCTCCTTCATCCGATCGCACTTCGCCTTCATCTGTGGTCGCGCGTCCCGCCCTTCGTGCTGGATTCTGAACCAATCGTAGTTTGGCGGCTCTCGCTAACTTCTCCCACTCCCGCAGCTCCGACTCACCATGACAGCGAGTCTCTACGAGCCCCCACATCTTGTAACGTGTGAACCAGCCTGCACGGACTCCCACACCTTATCTGTAAGAGCCGTGACACTGGCATAGAACATAGATCCCAAAGCTGCCTCCTCGTCCTCAGAAGGAAGCTGCTCCTGGCCTGGAGAAGAAGGCCGTGCCAATCGTCAAACTGCACCAGCTGTCGCATCGCCATTGCCGTTCGACTTGGACTTGGCCATGGCGGCGGCGAACCTCGCCTCGGACAGGCGGGCCGCCTCCACCTGCGGCTGATTCTCCTTCTCGGCCTTCTGCTCACTGGTTTCGGTGTCAGCAGCTGTGCCTCCAGGAGGAGGGACCGAGGGCTTGCCCGTGCCCTCGGTCGAAGCTGCTACCCCTGAGGACTGCCTTGTTGGTCCGAAAGGAATTCCCGCCACCGCTTCACCCGAGTCCCTCTTGCGTTTCTTGACCGACCGCTCAACCAACTCGGCCTTGAGGTCCTTCGTGGGCGTGATCCAGTCGTTGATATGCTTCTCTGTGCCCTCGACATGGCTCTTTACGTGCTGCAGCTCGTCCTTCAGCGCCTTGATTGCCTTCTCCTCGTTTGGGGTGGGCTCCGCATCCGCAGCCTGGTCGAAGAACGCCTTGTCCCGCTCCAGCCTGAAGAGCTTCGGGGCCCCGTCGGCAGGCTCCTTGTCGGCTGTGCCGTCAAGGCCCTCAGCCTTGGACAGGGCCAGCGCCGCCGCCTTTTTCGCCTGCTCAGCTTCAGCCAGCTTGAGGGCGAGGTTATGTTATTTGGTCTCCGCTGCTGCCAGATGTGAGCGAAGCCGCCGGGCGTATTGTACTGTTTGCTCGTGCATGTGTTCCAAAATACGAAATACTCCATCCGTTTGCTTCATTGCCTCGAAGACTCGAACTGGCTGCCTCCACTTCACCCCCAAGCCGCGAGATCTGCGTGGTGAGGGTGGCCGGAAGGGTCGGGTCCTGCGTGGCTTCCAACGCCTGTAACAGCAGATTGGTGACACCGCCGACGGCCATGCCACGGCCTTTGCCACTCTTGCGGCTCCCAGGCGATACACTGCGAGACTTGGTGGGCTGGCTTCCATAGTACAGCTCGCCGTCCCAGCAGTCTTGGAAGTCGTGGTCGTCGTCGCCCTCAGAGAAGGTCACCTTGCTCTTCGGCTTGAAAAGAGTGATGGTCGTCTGGCAATGGGCGCATTTCATCTTATTCAGCACAACGATCGAGTTCCACTCGCACTTGCGGCAGGCCGTGCATCGGGTCCACAAGTCTTTGCATGGCGCCATGGCGAGAGGAATGGGAAGGGGCCTATGTCTTAGTCGGTGGTCGGTCTGGGGGCCTGGCAAGCCCCAAACCAAAGTCCCTCAAGCACCGCGTGGAAGTGCAGAGACAGGCACGTGAGATCACCTGAAACCTCTCGTGCCCGAAATTGCGTAAGGGAGGAGGAGGAGGAGGAGAAGGAGAAGGAGGAGGAGGAAGGAGGAGGAGGAGAAGGACAGGGAGAGGAGGAGGAGGAGGAGGAGGAGGAGGAGGAGGAGGAAGAGGAGGAGGAGGAAGAGGAGGAGGAGGAGGAGGAGGAGGAGGAGGAGAGGGGAAGGAGGAGGAGGAGGAGGAAGACACGCTGCCTGGGAGGGGCCCGCTTCTGATTCGCACGGAGATGGTGTGCAGGCTTGGGCGATGTGCGCGGGCACGCTTCTGCATCCGAGGCCGTCGTGGAATCGGTGCTGCAGAAGACTCCGCTGGCACGTGGCAATGACCAATCGGCGCCGCTGGCACGCGGCAGGGCCGCGCACCGCGCACCGGTGGGGGGGAGGCCCTCCATCCTCGCTCCTCACTCCTCCTCCGTGCTCCTCGTCATCCATTCTCCTCCGTCCTCATAGTTCCCCCCCTCCTCCAGCCATCCTCGCTCCTCCCCCTCCCGTTGGGTCGGGAGGCCTCTGGCAGGGCCGTCAACAGCGAATCGTCTGAAATAGGCCGACGGACGCTGATCCGCGCCTTTGCTACCGCAGCAGGAGCGCAAGGTGCTGCAGCGAAGCACGTGAAAGCGACTCTTCTGCGTGCGTGTGAAAAAGAAGCAATTGCTGTATGCGTGTGCGTGAAAGTAGAGGCTTCCTAGATGGGGTCGAAGTAGATGGGCTCGGAGGATCGCGCCGCAACGCCGATGCATCGTCGACGTCGATGCATCGGCGACGTCGACGTGAAGCAATCGAGCCGCATCGCCGATGCATAGGCGATGCGGCGCGATCCTCCGACCCCATCTCCTCCGGCCCCATCTAGGAAGCCTAGAGAGAAGCAATTGCTTAAATATACATTCACAGAAGGCCGGACCCCCTTGCCCCCACACCCCTCTGGCCGCGCCTCCAGCGCCGCCACCAGGCGCGCAGTGAGCACGCTGGGGAAGGGGGGCAGGGAAGGGTGTCCCACGCCGACCCTGAGCGAAATCTATGCGGACCTCCGAAACTGCAGCGTGGTTGGAGGGAACTAGCAAGCGCCGGCATATGATTACCGCAAACTGTCAACGGGTGGCAGGCGCTGATGTGTGCGCTTCTGCCACAGCGGAAGGGCGCTGCGTACCAACTACTCGCAAAAACTGTCTGTCACTGTGTCCATTCCCTTACCCGACCTCCCAGCCCTGTTCCAACATCATGGGATGCGAAGCTTCATGCCCGCGTGAAGCTGTTCAATCGAATCTCCTTGGGTCCCAGCGAGGCGGTCGAGGCAGCATGCACTCAGCGAGGCCTCTGATGAGGAGAAGCGCTAGAATTTAAAGCGGTGATCAGTCCAGGGCCACGTGCATGAACCGCTTTTGGACTGGCACCCGCTGGGGCTGACGCGGCTGGATGTCAGGCCTGGCTTGCCAAGCACAGACTGTTTGATGTCTGACTCGGGCGTTACGTTCCGCAATGTCAGCCTTCTGTGAAGGAGCCGAACGTGCAGAGCTGATGCCGAGCGAAAGACGCCATACAGGCTCTAGAGGAAATATTCAGCATACAGGCACTAAGGAGAAGCAGCCTGAGGAGAAAATCGTCGGAGAATAGCTCAGCCAGCTGCGACTGCATGGGGCAAAGCGCCTCCGATAAACATTGAAACTGCGTGGGGAACATCCGTTTGCCTTGCATGCGCAGCAGGATGGCGGCATGATCTTCGTCCGCTCCATCGCATGGCGGCACAGGCGTACGCGCTCCGCTCGAACGCTCTGTGGATCTGCCGCGCGGCGCATGCGAGACCACTGCGACTCCACATCACGGCGGTGCGGCTCGACCCTCCGAGCCCCAGCCTCCTCCTCCGGCCACGTCGGGGGGAGGCCCGGAGCCCTTGAGAACGGGGGGCGAGCACTGCCAAAGCTGGGCACGCGCCTGCCGAGACGGCGGCTGCCCGCCGCCAGAGGGCCGAGGGCCCCCCCCTCAGGTGGCCGCGAGGGGCCCCGGCTCTGAGGGGGGGGCGACAGGGGAGGGGCTGGCATGCAGTCAGAGCTGATGGTGAGGATGCGCGCCAAAGGTGCACAGGCCTTGCAACGCCCGTGTCGAAGCTTCTCGAGCGGGGCTGGCCATCGAGAGCGGTTGAGGATGGGCCAGAAATGGCCGAAGAGGCAAGGATGCAAGGGTACCCTTGGGAAGTCGATCATCCTTCCTTTCAGTGTTGACTGCAGGTGGGACGCGTCCACCTGGAATCGGCGATACATCGCCGATTGATCGGCGATGGGCCCCCGATAATGAATCCGCCCTGGGCAGGCTGGGGCTATCGGGTCCCCATCGGCGATCAATACGCGATCCGGGCTCGATGCACCCGCTTACGCCTATCCTTCCCTGCCGTTGCCCCTGATACTCTGGACAGGTTATTATTGCCCCATCCAGAGCGATCTTAAATGCCCGCGGCTGCGTTGCCGCCACGCCGAGGCTGCCGTGGCCCCCGCGCGGCCAGACGACCTTCCTGCCCTGGAGTCGAGGCCTCGGGAGATCGTTGTTTTCTCTTTCGGCGATGACCCGGGTGTTATCCTGCGGGGGGGGGGGGGGGCGATGCGATGCGCCACCGTTGCGGACAGTGTCCGAGCCCGGCTTCGACCAGATGAATGAGGCCGTGGCCTAGAGAATCTGGCTGGGAGCGGGGGGGGGGGGCCGGCCGAGAACCTGACCTTTTCGCTCTGGGCAGCCCCACGAATGCCCGCGCGCACCAACACTGCGTGCCCCCTTCGGCCCTTCGGACCTGCGCAACGGACAAGGTCAGGTGATCCGGGCGGGGGGGGGGGGGGCGGGCGGAGCCGCTCACCCGGGTGATCGCCGAGCTCCAAAAGAGCATTCCCCCCAGGAGGGGAGCGGAGAGCGGGCTCCCAGAGTGCAGAGCCGAGGCCAATCAGAGGAACCAGTGGCCATGGTCAGCCAGGCTGGTCTCGGAGTCGCCTGCCTCTCCTTCCTCGGCCATCGGCGGGGCAGAGCGTGCTGCTCCACACTCTGGCTGGAGCCCAGCCACAGCCGCGCTGTGGCATCCCTGGGCCGCGATCGTCAGGAGCCCAGGAGCAGAGGCACGCAGCAATTCAACGTCGACGCTCAACGAACGTGCGAGCGCGGCCGCGTGAGCAGGCGCACTTCCAAGCTGGACTAAGTGGTCCGGGACTCCCGCGATGGCCCCCGCAACCAAGACCACGGCCAAGGCTACGGCAGGTGCCACGGCCACTGCCGCCGTGCAGTACCCGCCAGCGGATGCTGGTGCTCCGTGCGCCTCCACGGGGGGTGGGGCCGGCAGTGTCCCAGGGGCAGCCGGCAGCCGAAGCCCGCGGTCGGAGGCGGCCGTCGGTGGAGCAGCTGCGGACCCCAGCGGTGGCAGCGCAGGGCACGTCGCGGGAGGCGGCGACGGCGCGGCAGAGGGAGCCGGCGCGACCACCGGCGGCCGGAACGTTCCCGGGGGCTTGACGGACGCTTTCGGGGGCGCTGAATGCACAGCGGCTGGCGAGGCCCTCGGCCGAGCAGCCGTGCGCGCCGGAGGCGTGCGTGCCAGGCGCCAGGCCGCGAGCTGGGCGCCACCCTTGCTGCGGTCCTCGTCGCAGGCAGGACTGCCGTCGCTGTAGCAGCGGTCCTGGTCGGTGGGTGCTGGCACGAAGACGGGCGCGTCGGGATTGGGCTGCCATGCCGGCTTCCCGCCTGCAGGCTCGGCGGCTGCGGCGGCGGCGAAGCCTGGAGGGTCCTGCGACTGCGGCGGAGGGCTCTGCCGGAAGGCCCCTGGGGCGACGGCCCGGCCGCCGCCACCCCGCACGGAGGCGCGGGCCGCGGTCACTGGGAGCGACCGCTGCGACGGCAGCGAGGGAGGCAGGGCCTGGTGGAGTAAGTCCCGGGTGCCGGCTCCTGCCGCGCTGGTGTGGGCCATCGACGAAGCAGCACCCTGGTGGCCGTCCACCACCTCCGTGGCCAGCTTCAGGCTGCCGCCTGGCGAGGGGTACTCGAATGGTTCCCAACCTGCCACAGCAGTTCCCTGTGATTCTTCCTGGGCGTGAAGTGTTCCCTGGGAGAGTCCACGGCGAGACACCCCGTCTCCGCAATGCATTCAGGGTAGCTTTTGGTTTTAGGCCAGGCATGTCCTCCTACAAGCGGATCTTGGAAGAATAATAAATGATACCGGAGAAAAAAAAAACAAAATGATTTGTGTTAAAGGCTATAGGGCTATGGGGCTACAGGGCTATGGGGCTGAAGGGCTATAGGGCAATAAGGCTATGGGGCTATGGGGCTATAGGGCTATAGGGCTATAGGGTTTTAGGGCAATTGGGCTATAGGGCTATAGGGCTATACGGCTAGAGGGTTATAGGGCTATTTGGGCTATCGGGCTATTGGGCTATGCGGGGTATAGGGCTATTAGGGCTATTGGGCTATATTGCTATAAGGCTCTAGGGCTTTAAGGCTATGAGGCTATTACGGCTCCAGGGTTTTAGGGCTACAAGGCACCTGGGCACCGGGGCACCTGGGCACCTGGGCACCCGGGCACGCCCGGGCACCCGGGCACGCCCGGGCACCCAGGCACCCAGACACCCCCGGGCACCCCCAGGCACCTGGGCACCTGGGCGTGCGGCGAAAATCGGCGGCAAACCTAACCTAACCATATGAATCCGCTAGGACCCCTACAGAGGCAAGCTCTGATTGAGGAAAAACTGACACTAAATACTCAAGAATACTCCAGAGCACGAAAAATCGTCCCATGGCTATTTGTTTACATTGTGGCATATTCCTCCTGTAGAGGGACATGCCCGACTTAATTTTGGTTATTCGGATGAGGCCCAAATCAGACAACGGCGGCTCTCCCACCCTGCACAAATCCGCTCCAAAAATCAGTTCCCGGACCTCTACGCGGAACACCTCTCGGCGGCGAGTGAGGGGGGGGAAGTGAGAAGGAGAAGGGCTTCTCCGAAGGCGGCGGGGCTTCTCGGAGGCCCTCGCGCCTTCAGAGAGGTGTTCTGTGTCTTCGGGGAAGGCTTAGAAAGCTTCTCAAAAGGCCCAGGGACTTCCGAGCCTTCTGAGAAGGCCCGCCCCTTCTCACTTCCCCCCGGGTTCGCCGCCATAGGAATGCCGGGACGGCCGCTCCCAATCCCGGATGCCGGTCTACTTTGGGCGCCTTCCTGCCTCCTCTTCACTCCTCTTCAGGGGGCGGGCGCCAGCCCGGGCTACTTCCAACGCCTCCCTATACCTCACGGTGCTCACCCCGTGCCTTCGCTGCTCCCTTCTGAGGAGGCCCGCCCCTCCTCTCGGCCAGGCGTGAGAGTGACCCTGGGCAAGAGTGACCTCTGGTGCGCAGCTTTGGGAGGCGCGAGGGAGCCAAACCCAAGGGCGCGGGCCGCCGATATCGCATCGCGCTCGGCGATCGGGGGGAGCCCGACGAGCCCGCACCAAAGGTCCCTCCGGCGAAAGGTCACTCTTACGTGTAGTCGATGCTCGTTCCCCCCTCCCCGGGCTCGCCGCCGAGAACCTCTCCGAAGCGGACCCGGCCGTGGCGACGAGGCCACCGAGGGGGGCCCCACGAGGGCGGGGAGAGAAAAAAAAACTAGGGCGGGCCGCCGCTGCCTCTCGACGGGCCCTCATCTCGAGGTGCAGCAGGGGCTCGACCACAAGAAACCTTCCACAAGAGGTAAGTCGGGCGTGTCCCTCCACAGGAGGAATATTCAACAGCAGCATCAAAAAATGGTCGGGGGACGATATTTCAAACGATCGTTTGACTGGTTTTGACGATTGTTTGACTATCTTTATTTTGCGTCAAAATTCCCCTGTAGGAGGACACGCCCGACCTAACAACAAGAGGCCCAACCCTGATGCCCCAGGGCGTCCATTGATTTCTGGTGTGGGAGCCGCCGCGTTCTCCGTAGCAAAAAGCACAACAACAACAACAACAGCAACAACAACAACAACAACAACAACAACAACAACAACAACAGCAGCAGCAAAAAAACAAAAAAAAAAAAAAAAAAAAAAAAAAAAAAAAAAAAAAAAAAAAAAAAAAAAAAAAATCGAAACCCAAGAAACTCAGGGGGGCATCCTAGAGGCAAGCAGGGTGTCTCTTGGCACGGGTCTCCATTTAATGAAGCATGATGCGGTCACCCTCGTCATCCCAACCATGTCGTGTGCGGGTCCGTGCCGTCGTGCTGGCTTTCGCGAGTGGACGCTAACCGACGCTAGATCGACGATAAATCGACACTTGTCGACGCCCAATCGACGCTTCCTTAGCGATTACCAGACGCAGGCCCGCGCTGATGCACTCTGGAGACGGAATCTCCGGGACGCACAAGACTCCCATGAGTTGCTACCGAAGGGTCCCCGGGAGGGGCCACCAGCCACTGGGAGGAGGCGGAGGTCGAGGGTTACCCCGCGGCCGCCGTCGGGCGAGCGGCTGCGATCCGACCTTGTGCTCGCTGTCGTGCGGCTCAGCGTGCTCGGCGCTGGCCCCTGGTGGTCCTCTTTTGGGTGGCGACATCCGAACCCTACCCCCCACCAACCATCGATTCTCCTGAATCGATGTGAGGCGGGGGCAGGGTTCGGATTTTGCCACGTGCTCGAGGAATTCTGAACCCTGCCCCCGCCGCCGATCGAGTTACCTAAATCGTTGATCAGAGAGGGCAGGGTTCGGACTTCTCCGCCGTCCCTTGCTGTCCTCCTCGCCTTGCAGCGGCATCTTCGAGGGGACGAGCGCGTTGTTCGCCTCCCAGGCGCCCCTGCAGCTGACCCGCTCCCACCCGGGTGCACCCGCGCCGAGCCCGACTGGGAGCCCTCCGGAGCTGAGCTGGCCAGCGGCCTCCGCAAAGGCCTGCCAAAGCTCGGCCTCCTCTGCGAGGCGGGGAATTCTCCATTTCCACCGCCTGGGGAATCGATGTCCTGGCACACTAGGGGGCGATGGATAGTCTAATCGTTTTGTTTTGTTCGTCTAATCCGTACTACGGATAAGACGAACAAAACACGGCATGAACTTGAATTTTCGACGGTGCACGCGGGTTTCTTGGATCTGCGCCAGGGGCGGCGCCAGAGGCGCCGCCAAGGGGCTCCAGCGCAGTTCAAAGAAATCCGCGCGGAGCTCCAGAAGTGTCTGTTTGTGCAGCTTCTCTTCGAAGGGCGACGGATACGGCTGTAGTTTCACGGGCGAAGACCGGTATAAAATAAACTGTTTCGCTGTCGGGGGCGCCTGTCCCAGGGCGGCTGGAAAGTTTATAATCTTGCGGTGGCAGCGTAGGGGTGTAAATTTTCCAGCCGCCCAGGGGCAGGCGTCCCCGACGGCGGAAAAGTTTATTTTATACCGCTCTTCGCCCGCTGAGCAGTTGGGCCCCAGGGGGCACGAACGTACCCATGTCCACCGCCGCCTGCGGTCCATGGAGATCGGCTCTAGAAGAAAAAGAAGAAGAAGAAGAAAAAGAAGAAGACGAAGAAGAAGACGAAGAAGAAACGGCCGAAACATGAACTTTCGACGTTTCGCGCGGATTTCTTGGATCTGCGCTGGATCCCCCTGCCAGGCGCGCGGAGCGCGCCAGGGGCGGCGCCGGAGGCGCCGCCGGGGGTACCCAGCGCGGATCCAAGAAATCTGCGCGGAGCGCCAAAAGTTGACGTTTGTGGCATTCTTTAGAAAGCAGAAACCCCACCCTCATAATCATACCCCGACACGCGAAGCCGTTCAGTAAACGCACCCAAAGAAAGAATCGAACATGGCAAGGCTGTTCAGTAAACGCCCAGGGCCGCTTAGTCAACGCCATTTATCTGGTCTGGGTGGTTTTTCCTCCTCTGTTATTTTCTTCTTCGACGGTTCCCCAGGCCTTACAAGTACGGAGGAATCCAAGTCTCGGATCCTCGGCGCCGCCCAGCACGCAGTTGAGGTTGCGCTCCAGGATGAACGGGTCCTCGATGTGCAGGCGCGGGACGTGGCGGCCGCGCAGCCTCGCCAGCTGCGGCCACGCCGCATTTCGCCGCCTTCCGAGGCGCACGCTTACGACCTCGCCGCCCCTCCGGAACCCGCAGTGGTAAAACTGGAAGATCGGCGGCGAGCCCAAGGGGGAAGTGAGAAGGAGCGGGCCTCCTCAGAAGGCTGTGAAGTCTCTTGGCCTCCTGAGAAGCTTCTGGATCCTTCCCCGAAGGCACAAGAAGGCTCTCGGAGGGCCGGGGGCCTTCTGAGAGGCCCCGCCGCCTTCTGAGGAGGCCTTCTCCTTCCTCGCTCCCCCCCCGCGCCTGCCGCCGAGAAGAATCGCCGGAGGAGCTCCACGCAGGGCAGCGAGCATGGCTGGAGGACGAGGCAGCAGCACAAGCGCAAGCCTTCGGAGGTCGGCCCGGGCTTCTGGAAGCGGCGCCGTGCCCGCCTGGCGGCGCCTCTGGCACCACCCCTAGCGCGCTCCGCGCGCCAGGGTTGGGTCGGGCGTGTCCCCCTTCAGGCGGACTGTGGACGAAAAACACAGACAACTCCAACAATACCCGAAGATAGCCTAAAAATGCTCAAAAAAATCGTCCCATGACTATTTTCTAACTATTTCGGAACATTCCTCCTGTACGGGGACATGCCCGACTTAACGCCAGGGGGGGGGTCCTCCGACGATGCAGGAAATCCGCACGGACCTCCGAAAGTGTATGCTTGTGCAATTGTTCCTTCCTCCCATGACCATCGGCCACGGCAATCATTCACGATCCTCTCGTCATCTTGCCCCAGGTACGCCTCCTCGCGGAACGCGGTAACGGGGAGGATCGGAAGCTCGACCTCTGGGTCCACCTGCAGGTAGTAGATGGTGAGGAGCACGAACGCGTAAGACGACAGCCTGCCACGCGAAGCGCCGCAGACGCCTGCTGCCTTTGCCCAGAGCTTCACCGCGACCATCAGGCTTCGCACCCTCGCGTCGAGGTCCGCGTATACGCTCAGAAGGCGTGTGTTCTGCAGCGCCCTCGTGTTCTGGCACGACAGGTCCACGTCGAGCCGGTCATCGAAGCGGAGCCGCAGGAGGGGCACCCTGACGTGCAGCACCTCCTGCAGGACCTTGAAGCGGGGGTGACCCCGGAACAGCGGGCCGATCTTCTCGGACAGGAGGCTGGCCGGGGTCTGCCCAGCGGGCAGGCCGTCCTGGCGCAGGCAGGTCACGTCCACGTCGGAGCCGCACGCGCGGAGGGTGCTGGGCAGGCTGCCGAAGGGCCTCGCGCACCACTCCTCGCCGGCCTGCTTCAGGGTGCCCTCGAGGCTGTCCAGCGCCTCGTGGATGTAGGCGCCCTCGTCCTCCGTCGTGGCACTCTGGGCCAGCCTCTGCTCCAACAGCCTGTCCAACTCTGTGATCCAGGTCTCGACTTCCGCTCTCGATGTGTTCGGTGGCAACTCGTGGGAGCCTCCCATACCATCAAGTCGGCTCTTGCGAGTCGACGTTGATCTACACTAAATCGATGCCAATCGGCGCTAAATCGACGCTAATCGACGCCAAATCGGCGCTATCTCATCGACTCCCAGACGCTAATCGACGCTAATCAAGGCTAAAGACAGACTTGCGACGGTACACAAGGCTCCCATGATTTGCTACCGAAGATGTGTGCTGCATCTGCTTTGACATAGCAGTGTTATGCCCCTCGTCGCGACGGCCGGCGGGGTCGCCGCCGCCGCGAGCCTGCCGTGAGCGAGCTCGCCTTTGATGCGCCCGCGATCTCCAGACGACCCGTCGGTCTGCTCGGGGCAGACATGGCCGCGGACAGGGAATCAATGCATCCCTGAAGACTCTGACCCACGTCAGCGTCGTCGTCGTCGTCGCCGCCGCCGCCGCCGTCGTCGTCGTCGTCGAAAGGTCCCCCGTCAGGTCGGTGGCACTGGCCGTAAGGCCTTCGCAATCAATCGCATGCACATCTGTAATGTCTCGGCTGTGCCACCGTTGCTCTCGCGCTTCTCCTGCAGCTCATACTGCACGCTGGTGAGCGCGCATGACGCTGCACACGAACACTTGCATGTGCGCGGGCACGCCATGTTCGTATCAACCTTTGTATACTGTGCAACATCTGGTACACCTATGCCACATGCATGTATGTATACATGCACGAACGCTTACGCATTCGCATAGCTAATCGCTCACGTTCGCATGATTAAACTCCTTGCATGTGAATGTCCATGCGCATGTACACATGTTTGCACGTGGAGATGGGACGAAGGAAGACGACGGACAGGTAGATGACGATGACGAGAATGTTGAAGACGAATTTGAGCGATAGAATGATATATGCAAAAACAAGATTGCGATAAGGAAGGATGGTGAAAGGGAGGGCGATCAGCATTATGAAGAGGATGAGGATGAGGAGGATGAGAATGAAGAGGAGGAGGAGAACGAGAAGAAATAGGATGACGACTACGAGGGGAAGAGAAGCAGGAGAAAGATGGGGAAACGAGATGAAGTCACTCCTCATACCCTCCTCCTCCTCCTCCTCCTCCTCCTCCTCCTCCTCCACCTCCTCCCCCTCCTTCTCTTCCTCCTCCTACTCATCCTCCTCCTCCTCCTCGTCATTCCCCCGTCGCCTGCGGGGTGCCGGGTGCGGGGCTGCGCGCCTCATGCCCAACCCGATGGTCAAGAGGACGTTCCTCCACCCACAGGGATATCGACCGTCATTTCGCTTTACCCGCCGCCCTGGCTGCGCACCTCACGAACCGCCCGATGATCACTAGGCCGTTTCTCCACCCACTAGGATATCGACCGCCCGCCTGCTCTGTCCGCCGTTCCTCCCTGCCTCCTCGTTGGTTCAGATCGCAGCCATCGTCAACACCATTCTTCGTCGTCGTATGGCCACCACCTTGACATCGTCACCACCAACACCAGCATCACTACCATTACAAAGCCCCCTCTTGTGGCAAATCCCCAATTCAACCTGACCCAAGCCCTGTCGACACAACCCCGAGCGGCTCCTGCTCGCACAAGGTGACGACTGCCCAGCCTGTGCAGCACAGGGAACTCCACTGGCTCTCGAAAGCCGACCCGTCCAGAAAAGCTTCCTTGGCGATCAGGACCCCAGGTCCCCAGGACCGATGCCAAACCACGGCGTCCTGAGTGGGGGCCCTCCACGGGGTTCGAGGGATGGGCCAAAGCGCCCTCTCCAGCAGCACGCGGACCTGGGGCCTGTCCTGAGCCTGAACCAGCGGGTCAAACGCAGTAGGGCACGGCAGCTCACGGCACAACTCGCACTCAAAATGCCTGTGCACCAGCGTGCCAGGCCGCCTGCCCACTAAACACTCGTTAATTATGGCCTTGCGCGCCTCATACTTCCTCGCCATGGGCCACTGGCCGTTCACTATACACGACTTCAAGTACGCAAGAGCCTCGGGCCCCAGGGTCGGGACATCACGATTTTCCCCGCACCGAGGCCGTCTACTGGAGACCGCCTGGACCCAGGGTAACCAAACAGCACCAAACTCGAGGTGTTTCAAATCATCGTGTTTCGCCATCTGTCGCCATTGCCAGGCCGTGGCGGCCTGCACCAGATGATGGCGGACCACTCTGGGACACAGCACGGAGACGTCTAAATCAAGGCCATCGGGGGTGGCCCACCGAAATGAGGAGCGCACTGACCACCCAACTCGTGCCAGCGAAAGCCGACACGCACTGAAGGGACCTGAAACTTGGTTCCACAAAGTGACGGCCGAAGCACCTTCCAATCCCACCCGCACCACATGCCTCGGCACCCACTCCTCCCATATCGCTCGACAGAGCGTGAGGACAGACAAGAAAGTGGCGCGGAGGATCGGATCAGCATCCGTCTCGCACATCAGAGCAAGCGTGCGTGATCTGCCCGCAGTGGCACTCGTCGTACAAGCAAAGGTCGTGATGCGCAGGGTCTCAAAGTTAGACGTGGAGCATCAAATGACATTCATGCCATACGTCATGCTCGCCTCTAACCCAGAGCGTGCAACCTTCCGTATAGCCAGCCGTTTCTTCTTCCCCGTACGAATAAGACCTATGCGACGTAGACGCGCTCGTGCACCCCGAAGACGTTCCTTACGCGCAGCGTGCCCAGCTCTCTGACCGCAGGAGAAATCAGTATCAAGGTTCCGCTCGTGCTGCGTGGCTTCCGTGCCCATCTTAGCGTGCAGACGTCGTGCAATATCATCCCTCACACAGTGCACATTGCACAAGACTCTCGACTTGTCAACGTGCACGCATAAATCCACCACAACAAGAACTGCCTGCAACTCAAGCGAGACCTGGACCAACTCTCGTGTGACTCTCGACTGCGTGTCAATCCGATGCAGCAACAAATCGTCGACTACGATTGTGGGGACGACTGTACGATGCAAACGATACACAGAATCGAAGGTCCAATCAAAATGAGCTTGAGCATGCACGTAGCCCAGCCGTCTCCAGGGAGGACCGTCTGCCTCCTCCTACTCCTCCTCCTCCCCCTCCTCCTCCTCCCCTCCGCCTCCTCCTCCTCCTCCTCCTCCTCCTCCCCCTCCCCCTCCTCCTCCTCCTCCTCCTCCTCCTCCTCCTCCTCCTCCTCCTCCTCCTTATGCCTCCTCCTCTCCGCCTCATTCGCTTCCTCCTCCTCCTCCGCGCCTCATCCTCCTCCTCTCCTCCTCCGCCCTCCTCCTCCTCCCTCCGCCTCCTCCGCCTCCTCCGCCTCCCCCTCCTCCCTCCATCCCATCCTCTCCCTCCTCCTCCTCCTCCTCCTCGCCGCCGCCTCATCCTCCTCCTCCTCATTTCTCTCCTCCTCCTCCGCCATCCTCCGCCCCCGCCTCCGCCTCCGCCTCCGCCTCCGCCTCCTCCTCCTCTCCTCCTCCTCCTCCTCCTCCTCCTCCCTCCTCCTCCTCCTGCTCCTGCTCCTGATCCTCCTCCTCCTCCTCCTCCTCCTCCTCCCCTCTCCTCCTCCCCTCCTCCTCCTCCTCCTCCTCCTCCTCCTCCTCCTGCTCCCCCCCTTGTGTCGCTGCTGCTCGGCTCTTCCTGCGGGGGGGGGGGCGGAGGCGCCACTGCACGGGGCTTTGGCGCTGCCCTCTCAGTGCCCACATGATCAGGGCGGTGATCAGCAGCTTGCTCTGCCGCGCCGCCCGTGCTCTCCACCCCCCTTTCCGCTCCCGCCCCCGCCTGCGTGGGACGAAGGGGGGGAGGAGGAGGCTCACGGGGGACAGACGCCACGATCATCCGATCTAGGTCCGCGCGACATCAAAAAAGGCTCACGGGGGAGGTGAGGCGGACGAAGGGAGGGAGAGAGGAGGATTGGAGGGAGGGAGGGAGGAATGGAGGGAGGAAGGGGAGGCGGACGAAGGGAGGGATGGAGGAGACACGGAGGGGGAGTCGGACGAAGGGAGGGAGGGAGGAGAATAAAGGACGAGGAGGAACGGCGAGGAGTGTGGTGGTGGCCAGTGCTGACGGGAAACGAATCCCGAAAAGAGCAACATGCACCACGACACCGACGCCGACGCCGACGACGACAAAGAAGAGGAAGACGACGAGAAAGGACGAGTTTGCTGGTTCGTGCCCAGCTGGTTTAGGCAACCCCCGACCCCTCCCTCTTCAGAGTTCCAAGACGCTGTACCAAGCATAACACTTAGACACTCCCAGACGGAGCGGCCAGGAAGCGCTCAGCCGCCACAAACTATGACTCTCTTACTCGGACACTCACCAGGGGAAGCTCCGGGCACTGAGACGCACACGTATGGGGACCTCAGCGACGAAGTATTTTCTTAAAAATCCTCTACCCCCCACCAAGCCACCACCTAGCACAGGGGGAGGGGCTCTGGCCCCCCCCCCCTACGGTCGGGAAGTTCTGTTTAGCGTGCCGCGGCGGCTGGCGGTCCTGGCGACACGCTGCGCCCCACGAGCGGATCGCGTGTCCCTCCACCCCGCGGGGCGGGAGGCTCGGAAGAGCTCGGGACGTGGACGCCGAGGGATGTGTCCATGGATAGCTCGTCGCGCGCCAGAGCGTGGTGGGCAAGAACCGGCGGAGCGACACGCGATCCCGAAGTCCCCCACCGCAGCCCTCCCCCCAAAAGAGTTGCCTGGCGAAGGACCCGACCATGTGCAGTTGTGGGTCACGCAGTTGGGTGGGGCTCCCCATGGGGCCACGAAACATGGGAGGGGTGTGCCGAAGTGGGTGGGGGGGACGCATGTGGACGGTGACGCTGAGGCCTTCGGTGGAGCTCCCCATGGGGCCACGAAACGTGGAGGGGTGTGCCGAAGTGGGTGGGGGGGGGGGCGCATGTGGACGGTGGCACTGGGGCCTTCGGTGGAAGGCGACCGCTGGTTTCGCCGACCGCTGGTTTCGCCCGGCTGGTTTCGCCCGGCTGGTTTCGCCCGGCTGGTTTCGCCTGGCTGGTTTCGCCGCCTGGCGAAACCAGCTCCGTCGGCGAAACCAGGTCCGTCGGGGAAACCAGCTGCTGTGCCTTCGGCGAAACTGCCCGACCCGACCCGCCCGCTAGGGTCCGCCCGACCCGACCCGCCCGCTCGGGTTCGCGCGTGCTCGGTCGAGCGCGCCCCACACTTTAATGTCCCGCCCGCCCGACCCGACTCGCCCATCAGGGTCCGCCCGCCCGACCCGACACGACCTGCCCGCTAGGGTCCGCCCGCCCGACCCGACCCGCCCGTTAGGGTTCGCGCGTGCTCGGTCGAGCGCGCCCCACACTTTAATGTCCCGCCCGCCCGACCCGCCCGTTAGGGTCCGCCCGCCCGATCCAACCCGACCTGTCCGCTAGGGTCCGCCCGCCCGACCCGACCCGCCCGTTAGGGTTCGCGCGTGCTCGGTCGAGCGCGCCCCACACTTTAATGTCCCGCCCGCCGACCCGCCCGTTAGGGTCCGCCCGCCC